CTCTCTCTGTCGGCTCCACCAATGGAGGGGGGAACTGATGCTCCATCCTCCTCAAATGGGACCCTCTCTCCTAATCCATGTCACTGTGTGAACTTCTCTGTTTGCTCTTTCTCACAGGGAAAGTGAGGCAGCATTTGTGTAGCCAGAGCCATCTCCAGGCACCCACAGCTGCACCCGCACCACGAAATTTGGAGCAACACCCCCAAAATGGGATGCTGCATATGTTCCTGGTAAGAGCGAGGTTGGTCCAGCCGAATGTTCTTACATACACCTCACTACGTATTTTGATGTGGGTCTGTCTATGCAGCTGTGAGCCTGTTTGTTCAAGAGCCCTTGAATTGGAAGAACAAGAACCAGCACATTTTTTATGCAGCTTCCTCTTGCTGTAACTTAAATCAGAGTCAGGGTTTGGCTGTTCCCAGAAAACAGGCAGTACTGGGTGTGACGGACCCCTCACCCTGCCATGGTTTATGAAATGGACTAATGGACATGAATATACATATCTCCAAAGTGTTATGAGCGAATCATTTTGTGTAACCCATCAATCTTCATGTCACAATCCACTAGTTCTTTTTATCTTACTCTGTTGTATGTATCATATAGAATAGTGGTAGAAATGTAGCCGTGTTAGTCTGATGCAGCTGAAACAAAAAACAGGACTATGTAGCACTTTAAAGACTAACAAGATGGTTTAATAAGTGATGAGCTGGCCCACGAAAGCTCATCACCTATTAAACCATCTTGTTAGTCTTTAAAGTGCTACACTGTCCTGTTTTTTGTATGTATCATTTGTGTGTGTAAAATAAGACACAGGGAGTGGGGAATTATTTGTGAGTTTCCAACGTATGAAAGAGAGACAGGGAGGGTGTTATCCTCAACTGTTATACAGGTAGTCCCCGGGTTACGTACAAGATAGGGACTGTAGGTTTGTTCTTAAGTTGAATTTGTATGTAAGTCGGAACTGGCATCCAGATTCAGCCGCTGCTGAAACTGACCAGTGGCTGACTACAGGAAGCCC